TAATATCATTTATAATATAAAACAAAATTTAAAATGATTAAATTCTTTTATTTATAATTTCTATTAATTTAATAAAGTAAAACTGCAACCTTCTCTGGTTATATCACTTATAATATTAACTTACTTAAATTGATTTCATCTAATCCTCCCATCTCTGCACTTTTCTTCATTGCGTCCCGCCCCCAAAATTTAGGATTAGAAATTAATTATCCATTTCATTTTTTTTGCATTTTTAGGTTTCTTCACCTTTGAATTATACCAATTCTATGCTATTATTTTAAAAACTAATTATATTTAAATTATAATAAATTGTATTTATTATATATAACTAAATTTTATAATTTATAATTATTAATATTAATTAAATATATATTTTAATTTATTATATATATATATATATATATTAAAACATATGTAAAAAAACATTTAATATTTTTTCCGCATGAATATAAAATATTAACTATAAAATATATTGTTTGATGTTTTTTTTTCTTTTATGTTTTTTTTAGTTTATTTATAATTATATATAATGAGATTTTTTTAACTTTTTTATCATAAAAATATTATAATTACAAAAATAATGATTATAATTTATATATTTAAAAGATAATAAATGTATGAGAAAAAATATAATATATAATTAATAAAAAAATAAAACAAATAAAAAATTAAAAAATAAATTATATAAAAAATATAAATACATAAACGTTTTAACACATGTATTTTTACTGATAAAAAATATTATTAGTTATAAGGTAATAATTATAAATTTTAGGAGTTTTCAGTAAACATGTATGTTAATAGCTTAGGATAACAACACAAGCTAAAACATCCTATTTAAAAATAAGTTAAATAAAAATGTATATAATACTATACTCATCTATGTGGATCTATACTCTATATTGTATATAAATATTTTTAATATTTTTATTAATTTTTATAATATAGTATTACTTTTTATTAAATATATTATTAGTTATTAAAATAATAATTATAAAATTATTATTTTAAACGCAAATAATATATATATTAAATAAAATTATAATAAATTATAATTTAAATGCAAATAATATCTTAAACTTAATAATAATTAATCTCTAATTATATTATCATAATTATATAAATGGAATAATTTAATAAAATATTTAATTTATATTAATATTTATAAGTTTGGCTGTTACCACTCTAATATGTCTTTAAATTATATTAATTATGTTTACCGTTAACATTAATTAAAAATACTTGAATAAACATTAAAGTTGATGACTAATTTGACACCTGATTAATCAATTACCCTGAACTTTATCGTTTGGGCAAATTTTTGAAAGCAATGAAATACAGAACAGATCGAGAAACACCGCATAACAAGTGGTGTGCAAACTTGGCTAGTGAATTAGTTGAATAGCTATTTTTAGTTCTAGAGAAGTATGGTTAGTAGGTCACAGAGGACGCCATGGTTGCTTTATTCAGTCAACGTGGAAATCCAAAGCTTACCAAATTTGCCAGCATCATCAATAAATAATACTCCAAAAGTGTCACCCCTAAATTCCATCCTTATCCTTCACCATTCACTTTTCACTTTCACAATCCAATGCTCCACATACACTTAGATCAAATTATCTAAAATTTCAAAAAATATTTATGTAAATAGTTTGATTAATTTTTAAATAATTTATATATGAAATTCATACTGAAATATTTTTTAAAACAATTATTATCAATAATTCATTTTGAAAATATTTTCCGTTGGTCAGAAATGTTACTTGCATAAAAAAATCTGTAACTCGTGTAACTGATGTAAGCTTCCAGGAGTTTCACGCAAATACCAGTTTATATTCATTGGTGTTTTTTTTAGAGTAGATGTTATTTTGTTAACACTTTTAATATATACTAACGAATAGTTACTATTTAATTAGTAATATAAAAAACATTTTTTAAATTAAAAATACCAAATATTTTTTCAATTTAACTTTAATTCTTATATATTAAAATTTATTAATTAAAATTTAAATCTAAAAAATTTGTATGATAAAAAAATATTACTTAACATTACATTTTAAAATAAAAGTTAAATAACATAATTATGAGTTTAATTACATTATAAATTTTATCTAAAATTATCATTTAAATATAAAAATTAAAATAACATGTCTGCAAAATGTTACAAGATAATTAATTAATTTTAAAATAAAAAAGGAAATCAATATTATAAGACACAGAAAAAAAGTGTTCATCCCGTATGAAATGATTAATTTTTAATAATAAAAATATTATTATGTAAATTGTAAATTCTTAAAAAAGAAACTGTTTTTTTTTTTATAAATTGTTTATTGTTTTTCGCACTCTCTTCCATTTTTATTTATTCAACCTCTGTTTTATAACACAATTTTTTATCAATTGAAAATAATAAAAGTTAACTCTTATTTAGTATTTTTTTCTCTTAATTTATAATTTTGATAAATTTTAACTGTATAAAAAAACTGCGTTAGAGTGTATTTTTAACATAAAAAAATTATAAATAATGTCCTCTCATAACATCTTTAAAAGAAATTCTTACCATGAGTTATTTATTACAAATAAAAATTTAATATTTATTATAAATTTTACACAGTATTTAGAATTTGGTTATATAAACAGTTTTTTTTAAGTAATTTTAATATAAAATTCATAATAAAATATTTATTTTTATTTTTAAATAACCCTTTAAAGCACTTTAAAGACATCTTCACTCAATTTATTTATTATCTTAAAAAATAAAAAATAAAAAATTTATGATATTATATTATTTTTAAATAACTTATTAAATTTAAATATTTATTATTTTATATATTATTTTTTTATAAAAATTTATTTAAAATAATTAATACTTTATTTAAATATTTCCATTCTAATACTAATTTTATGAATAACAAAAATAAAAATCTAAATTTGTATATTTAAGTGTTACTTTTATTATTATTTTTACAATTTTTACATTTTAATAATATTTTTAATTTAACTTTATAATGATTACATTAAGAGGAGATAAAATAATAATTAAACTTAAAAATCATTTTTATCTAAATAATGTCTATGGATTATTTTTGTTAATAACGAAGACAGTTTTTTTGTTTGTTTGAAGACTATAGTATATCGTAAAGAACGGGTATTCAAGTTGGGTTGCAAAATCTCTCGTTTACACAAAATATTAATATAAAATATAAAATTTTAATAAATAGCATATGTAAGCTAAATAAAAATATTTTTCTTACAAATAAATTATATTTAAGTTTTTTTTTTATCTTTTAATAGTTTTAAATGATATAAAATTCTTTTATTTATTATAATGTAAAACATTATTGTTTAAGTAGTTTAAGATATACATTACGTTATTATTTTGAATAAATGATTTTTTTTATTTAAGACATTATAGTTATACTTTAAAAATAAATAAAATTTATATTTTAGAATAATATTTTTTAATTATTTATTTTTGATAAACTCGCATATTATATTAAATAAGATAATAAATTTGTTTTTTCTTTAAATAAGGCTATTTAAAGTAGGGTGCTGATATTTCACAGTTAACACTACTATTTAACAAGAATAATAAGGAAATAAAATAAATAATAATATTATAATAAGATATCTGGAAGAGGAAATGAAGTTATAGATGAATGTTTGTGTAAGAGTGGATGTAAAAATAAAATTTTCCTTTTAAAAGTAAGGGACTTATCCGCTTGTATAACAGAGTATAATAAATGAATGGATGTTGTGAGTTGTGATCTGTGTGATGGAGTAAGTTACTTGGCGAAGCCTAACACGAGTGTGGCGCACGTGTGAGTACTGACCGATTTGTTTCACACGCGTGAGGGGGTCCAGCGCCACTACACCACCCTGTACAGCAACAGAGGTCCAGCCAGCACTGTGCAAAAAGCAAAGAGGGCAACTGCTCTGTATATTTTGCATAGATTCATTAGATCCTAGCCCCACACCACCCACAAAGGCAAAACCAAAAACCAAAAAAGCAGACACCCTCTCTTCTCTTTTTCTTCTTCTCCTTCACCCCCTCACCCTTATCTCTTCCATCTCACAAACCCCACGTCCATTGCTTCTGCTTTATCAGAAAAAAAAAAACTCCAAAAAACCATCCCCATTTCAGAAGAAACCCGTTTTCTACAAGGTAACAACATCTCAGCATTGTACTTCATAAACCTAAAAGCCCCTCCTTTATTTCTCTCTTTTCTTCTCCTTCATGATTTGGGTGCTACTGAAAATTTTCAAGTTTTTTTTCTTTTGCTGAGTTTGGAGCACCCATTTGGTAAAAAAAATTCTGGGTAAATCTGGTAGGATGAGAAAAGCATAAACCTGGTTGCAATCAGTGGATGTGTGTATTTTTTTTGTGTGTGTGTGTGTGTGGTTATAGATAGCACTGAAACTAGAGAAGTAAAGGTAATCCGATGGTGATGTTTGTTTCCGGAAAATAAGTAGTTAAAGGAGGGTCTTAGAATGCAGAAAGTGTAAAACTTTGAAGTGGAACTCCTTCATTTCATGGTACATTCTGTCGGCAGCTACCCTCGGAATTCTAGGTTCAGATTGTTTTTGTGTATACATTTTTTGTGGATTGTAATACCGTTTTTCGTCTTGTGATTTTGGGCTTTTACTGAACACAATCGGATCTAGACTTTTAAGCTTACACACTCTTGGTGTTATCATAGATCTATGCTTTCATCTCTGTTTATTTATGCATTAATTATTATCTTTGAGTTTTCTCAAGTTCTGTGGTTTGTGTGTTTTAAAGTTTCCCGAATATTTAGGTGACTCGATTTGCTAGCCTGTAACGGCTATTTGACTGTGTTTTTCTGTTTTTTAGGCTCCTCGGAACCGTTGTGCTTTTATTTCTTTTAAAGCACAACTGTTCCTACCAGTAGAAGCGTGGGACATTGAACATTTGAAATAGTTGGGCCACGGCTACCATTCTTTGGAAAAAAAAGGGTCTTTTGATTCTTTGAAGCCAGAAGATGCAGCGGCCTCCACCAGAAGATTTTCTGTTGAAGGAGACCAAGCCCCACCTTGGAGGGGGGAAGGTCTCTGGTGACAAGCTTACTAGCACTTATGACCTTGTTGAGCAAATGCAGTACCTCTATGTGAGGGTTGTGAAGGCTAAGGACTTACCTGCAAAGGATGTCACTGGCAGTTGTGACCCTTATACTGAAGTCAAGTTGGGGAACTACAAAGGCACCACTCGACATTTCGAGAAGAAGAGTAATCCTGAATGGAACCAGGTTTTTGCTTTCTCCAAAGACCGCATTCAGGCTTCCATTCTGGAGGTCACTGTGAAGGATAAGGATGTTGTGAAGGATGATTTCATCGGTCGGGTCTTGTTCGACCTCAATGAGGTTCCAAAACGTGTTCCACCGGATAGTCCCCTTGCACCGCAGTGGTATAGGCTGGAGGACAGGAAGGGTGATAAGGCGAAGGGGGAGCTAATGCTGGCTGTTTGGATGGGTACACAAGCTGATGAAGCATTTCCGGAAGCATGGCACTCTGACGCTGCGACGGTTAGTGGGACTGACGCTCTTGCGAACATTAGATCAAAGGTGTATCTATCTCCTAAGCTTTGGTATTTGAGGGTTAATGTGATAGAGGCGCAAGACTTGCAGCCGACTGACAAGGGTAGATACCCTGAAGTTTTTGTGAAGGCTACTCTGGGAAATCAGACCTTGAGGACTAGAATCTCCCAAAGCAGGACTATCAATCCAATGTGGAATGAGGATATGATGTTTGTGGCCGCTGAACCATTTGAGGAGCCTCTGATTTTGAGTGTGGAAGACAGGGTTGCCCCTAACAAAGAGGAATCACTTGGGAGGTGTGCAATTCCTTTACAAATGGTGGACCGGAGACTGGATTACAAACCTGTGAATACTAAGTGGTATAATATTGAAAAGCACATTGTTATTATGGAAGGAGAAAAGAAGAAGGAAATAAAGTTTTCTAGCAAGATTCATATGAGGATCTGTCTTGAAGGTGGTTATCATGTTTTGGATGAATCAACTCACTACAGCAGTGATCTTCGCCCAACTGCGAAACAGCTGTGGAAGTCCAGTATTGGAGTTCTTGAATTGGGGATATTGAATGCTCAGGGTTTGATGCCAATGAAAACAAAAGATTCTAAGGGGACAACTGATGCCTATTGTGTAGCAAAATATGGGCAGAAGTGGGTCCGGACAAGGACAATCATTGATAGCTTTGCACCCCGATGGAATGAGCAATATACTTGGGAGGTTTTTGATCCTTGCACTGTCATTACAATTGGTGTCTTTGATAACTGTCATTTGATTGGTGGTGATAAGGCTGGAGGGGCAAAAGATTCCAAAATTGGGAAGGTAAGAATCCGTCTTTCCACCCTTGAGACTGACCGGGTCTATACACATTCCTATCCTCTTCTAGTTCTTCATTCAAATGGGGTGAAGAAAATGGGTGAAATCCACTTGGCTGTAAGGTTTACTTGTTCTTCTCTGCTTAATATGATGCATATGTATTCAATGCCTTTGTTGCCTAAGATGCATTATATTCACCCACTAACTGTTAGCCAGCTTGACAATTTGAGGCATCAAGCTACTCAGATTGTTTCAATGAGACTGAGTCGTGCTGAGCCACCCTTGAGAAAGGAAATTGTGGAATATATGCTGGATGTGAGTTCCCACATGTGGAGCATGAGAAGAAGCAAGGCCAACTTTTTCAGGATTATGGGAGTTTTGAGTGGACTAATTGCTGTAGGAAAGTGGTTTGACCAGATCTGTAATTGGAAAAATCCAATCACCACAGTTCTGATCCATATCCTGTTTATAATATTGGTCATGTACCCTGAGCTTATCTTACCTACAATATTCCTTTACCTCTTCTTGATTGGAGTTTGGTACTATAGATGGAGGCCAAGACACCCTCCTCACATGGACACTCGTCTCTCTCATGCCGATTCTGCGCACCCAGATGAACTCGATGAAGAGTTTGACACATTCCCGACCACCAGACATTCGGACATCGTGAGGATGAGGTACGACCGGCTTAGAAGCATTGCTGGGAGGATACAGACTGTGGTTGGTGATTTGGCCACTCAAGGGGAGAGGCTGCAGTCTTTGCTCAGCTGGAGGGATCCAAGAGCAACTGCCCTCTTTGTGATCTTCTGTCTGGTTGCTGCCATTGTACTCTATGTCACTCCATTCCAGGTTGTGGCACTTCTCACTGGAATCTATGTATTGAGACACCCCAGGTTCCGCCACAAGCTTCCTTCAGTGCCTCTGAATTTCTTCAGGAGGCTGCCTGCAAGAACTGATTGCATGCTTTGAGAGTCATGGATAGTGCACAAACTTAAAAAATGGAACCTGCTTTGCTTTCATTGTTCACCACCAGATTTTGTGGATGTGCTTTTCATTATGTCATAGGATTTTCTGTTTTTGAACTTCATGGTTGTAGTCCTGGTTAAATTTGTAATTTTGTAGGCTGTGAGTTGAAATTAACTTGTGTTCAATCAACTTCATGTTTAATTAGATGTAGTAAAGTTTCTCAATGGGAGTTTGAACTTACCCCCTCAAATGGCTATTGATATTGAAGTGAAGTGATTACTGATCTCTGTTCCCCTTTTCTCCTCTATTGATATTGCTAAACGGGAGAACACACCTACTACTGCTACTTGTTTCATTTGTTTATTGATTGATAAGATACCTTGTTCTGTGGTCTTCTCTGCATTTTCTATTGTCTATGACTTGGACCTCTGCAATGTTCTGACAATAACATGGCATTTTTGTATAAAGATAGATAGATGAATACATATGGGTATCTATATCTTACCATTGCGACATTAAAATAAAGAAGCTGCATATAATAGTTGATTTTGTAACATAGCAATATTGTATTAAGGATGAATACATGTGGGGTATCCATGTCGTTGGACTGGGACATTAAATAAAGAAGCTGCATATTATATAATATTTTCACTGTCCATTTGGTGTGCAATTTGTTACCTAATTTATTTCAGACTATTAATTTTGTTTCGGATGACAATAATTCGATCAGTGGGACAGACATGAATGCTTCCGCAATAATTGGGTTTTGTTTTTCTATTTCTCGCCAAATGTTCGCATTGATATTTTTTTTTTCAAAATATATCTGTGTTGCTTGAAGAGCAGGACTAACTTTTGCTTGTAAATGGGACTGAAACTATGTATATTTGAATTTATTTTACTTGATTTTTACATCTCAAAAAATATGTATATATATATATATATATATATATATATATATATATATATATATAGATAGATAGATAGATAGATAGAAGATCTGCCGCGTGAATAAATATGGTTATGCATAAAAAATATTTTTATTAAAATAGAGAAATGATCTTGTTGTTTTATTTTATTTATGTATCTGAATATTTTATGAGTAAGACATGTAAATTTTAATAGAAATGTAATTATTTGTTTTTGGTTCAAGATATTTATTTGATTTGAATAAATACAATAAGAGATATAAATAAAGTACATAAGAAAGTGATAGCAATTGGAGTTTCGTCTTATTAGATGTATAAAATGTGAATTTTTGAGTGATGCAGTGTTATTTTATGCCGACTTGATTTTTTATTATTTTTTTAAGAACATGTATTTACTTTAACAAAGCAAAAATAGTAATTAACTTAAAAATTAATTATTCATATGTCATTTTAAAAAGAAATTATTATCTTGCAATTAATTATATTTTATATATTCAAAATAGTTAGATTTAAATAATTTTTATTTTCAATATATTAATCCATTCCAAATGGTTGATATGATATAAATTAATACAGTATTGTTTTCTCTTAATTATTTACTAATTTGAGTGTCTTAATGTTATTAGTAGGCAGATTTCTGTTTTGTGTTATGTTTAATTATTATTATTATGATAACATCTTAACTTAGATTTAAAAATATTGAAAAAAAATCTCTTGTAGAGAGTTCAACCCAAATATACTCAATTTTCTTTATTATCATTTGTATACCACATTGCATTAATTAAGAAGTTTAAAGTTCTTCATATTTTGTCAACTTTGGGAATTAAAACTAGAAGAAGGATTTTGGTGTCTATCTTGCTAATGAATTTTTTGAATTCTTAAAATGACATGTTTCTTTCTCCTAAGATATTATCAAATATATGTTTAGTAAAGTGAATAACATCATCTTTTACATTTAAAAGAGCTTTTACTACTTTCTTTACTCTAAGCACCTTGCATCAATTTCTCAAACTATTTTGGGATGGTGGTTAGGTGTACTAAACCTCTATCAAACAGTGATACATATATTATTATTTTTTTAATAAGAAAGTTAGTAAGTATAAATTTTGATTGAGTGATAAACACTAGATCTAATAATTGATAGGTAGTCCAAATCACCAGTTTGATTCTTAATGGGCCAATTACTAAGGGATGATACTTATTTTGTGGTAAGAGAAGTGAGTCAAGTCATAAGCTCATATTACTACAATTTTAAGAAAAAAGTTAAGTACAACTTTTAGTATAATGGTTATAAGGATGTTCATGACTTGATTTAGTTCCATTTTTTATCAAAACCAACCATAAATATCATATACAGTTTGATTCAATTTTAATTTAATAGAAAATTCAATCAAATTAAACCAATTTTTGTTGTTTAATTTAAATTGATTTTGTGGGTTTTCTTGATATAAAATAATTAAATAATTAAAAAAAGAATTTAAAATAGTTTCTAAAAAAAGTTAAACATTTTTAATAAAAATTCTCACATAAAAAAGAAACAATATTTTTTTATGATTATTGTTATATTTTTAATTTTATTTTTTCTTATATATTTATAAATAAATTACACGCTTTATAACAAATTATAATCAAAATGTAATATATTATAAATAAAATATAATCAAATGACACAATCCAAAAAGTAGTTTGATTCCATTATTAATTTTAATTCAATTTTTGAACCAAATTATTTTTAAAGAAAAATTGATAAAAAACATTTAATAAAATTTTAAATTTATTTTATTTTAAATTTATTTATTAATTTTTAATTAGTGTTTGATCTAGCATAATTTATTACAATTTGTTTTTGAAGTGAAAAGTCTAACCTTTTTAATTATTTGTTTTAAATGCTTAAAATTTATCTTTTTAATTAATAAAATGAACCAAAGAAAGAAAAAAGAAAAAGGAACACGCACAAGTATGAACATAAAGATTTTATTTTATTTTTTAAAACAAAAGAGGTCCTATTTATAAAATTTATAAAACCCTAAATCCTAAAACCCTTGACACATCTTAATATATTTCCCTCAAATTGGGTGATGGATGCTCATTATTTCAAGCTTGGATACAATCGTTTGAAAAGAAGGTATGCGCAAGATTTTAGTAAAAATATTTGCGAATTCCTGGTTAGAGGATATGGGGGAGAAGATAAAAGAGTTTTTTTTGAAGCTTTTTATGAACGATACGACAGTCAATGAGTAGTAGTTAACTCATACTATTCTGCTTTGGATGAGGAGCAGGAAGACTATGGACTATTTTTTTAACCTCTAGTAAATGAGAGAAGAATCTAAGAAAACACAGTAGTCAGTGATTAAGATCTTGTTTTAAGATAAGATGCCCAGTTAGAATCGCTAAACCCTTTTAATTGAATCTCAAAATTAGAATGGAAGAACAATCCTTGTGAAGGATTTGCTTTTATATATCTCAAAACATAATTGTAGGATTTTTGGAGAAACTGACTAAGAAGATGAACAACAAAGCTGACATTTGGCCTTGTGCATATTAAGTATAACAACTTGCTAATGAGTATATTATAAGAGTTTGTATCTTGTAGAGTATCCTGGGTTTTAAAAAGATCTATAGAATTAGTTAAGTAAGGAGTGGTACACTTTACTGCAAAACGTTATAGTTTTTTTTTTTAAATGTCCAAAGTGTATTTTCTCTGACGTAAATGAATGTCTTTAGTTGAGCAACCCACTTCAATTCTAAGAAAATATTTGAGTTCTCCAAGGTTTTTGATTTTGAAGGTTTTATCTAAAAAACACAAGTAGATAATTATCTAGCAAACCTGCATAAAACAATACTAACAAATGGAAAAGGTACACGTGTAACTAATAGACTAATAGCCTCCCCTCAAGCTGGAGAGTGAATATTAAGAACACCCAGCTTGGAAATATTGTTAAGAAAAGGTGAAGGATCGAGAGCTTTGGTGAAAACATCTGCAAGTTGATTTGTAGAGGAAATGGGAAGAAGATGGAAGAGGTTGGCCTGCACACGATCTCTGACCACATGACAATCAATGTCAATGTGTTTGGTGCGTTCATGAAAGCTAGAATGAGTAGCAATGTGACGAGCGACTTGGTTATCACAATAGATGACGACTTGATTGGGCTTGAAGATGTTGAAATCATGAAGCAAGTAATTGAGCCATTGAAGCTCGCAGTGGTGATAGCAAGAGCCCCGTATTCTGCTTCGTTGAGGAACGAGAACATGATGTGTTGTTTTTTTGATCGCCAAGAAATCAACGAATTACCCAAAAAGATACGAATCCGAGTGGTAGAGCGACGAGTTGTCAAACATGAAGCCCAATCTGAATCACTAAATCCTTTCAATTGAATGTTGGAATTGGAAGAGAAAAACAAACCTTGACCAGGATTAGCTTTTAAATAACGAAGTATACGATTGACGATGACTTGATGGAAGACGAGTGGGCTTTTGATTAAACCGACTTAGAAAATTAACAGTGAAACTTATATCCGGTCGCGTATTTGTAAGATACAAAAGTCGTCCAATAAGGCGGCGATAAGCATCCGCATCACAAAGATCAAGCATTATCATCGAAAAACAATTTGGTGTCCTTGATAATAGGAGTAGAACATGGTCGAGCGACTAGATGACCACTCGTCGACAAGGATATCAAGAGTGTATTTGCGTTGACAAATGTGAATGCCTTGTGTAAGTACGAGCAACTTCTAGGCCAAGGAAATATTTCAGTTGTCCCAAATCTTTAATCTGAAATTGTTGATTAAGAAATTGCTTGACGGTGTTGATTTCATCAATTGAATCACCTCCAAGAATTATATCATCTACATAAATGAGTAAAGCGAGTGAAGGAAGAAACATTTTTCTTTGTAAAAAGAGAATGATCGGATTGAGATTGTATAAAACCAATTGAAAGAAGAGAAGTAGATAATTTGGCAAACCACCGCCTACTAGCCTATTTTAATCCATAGAGGGATTTGGTTAAGCGGCGGACTCGATTTGCTTGAGGAGGTATCACGCCGAGGGGGATCCATGTACACTTCCTCATTGAGGTCT